TTGGAACGGAAAGAAAATTCTTCATGATTGGTTGAGGAAGCAGTGAAGGCCTATTTCCAAAGTGCAAAAGGAGTAACCTCCATTTACACCATGTCTGATAATTATTACAATGATTGGCAAAAGTTGTGTGATCGTCCCAATCGATCCTTCGACACTGTTTACATTGACCAAACTGTTAAAACCCATTTATTGAAGGATTTGGATCGATTCATGAACAATGAACAATTTTACAGAGAAAATGGTTTAAATTTCCAAAGAGGATATTTATTATATGGATATCCTGGAACTGGTAAAACTTCCTTAATTTTGGCAGTGGCTGCTTATTTGCAATGCTCAGTATTCACCTTGTCATTGAGTGATAAGAGTTTAGATGACACTAAACTCATGGCATTGATGACTCAAATTCCAAGAAGGGGTATTATTCTTTTAGAGGATATTGATGCTGCTTTTAATGAGAATAGAAAAGCTTCAGATGATGTTCAGAGAGTGACATTTTCAGGTTTATTGAATTCTCTCGATGGTGTGACTTCACATTCACAATTTCCAAGAATTATTTTCATGACAACCAATCATCTGAATCGATTGGATCAAGCTCTTATTCGACCAGGAAGAATTGATATGAAAATTGAATTTGGATACTCCTCAAGCGATCAAATTTATCAAATGGCCAATCGATTCTTTAAGAATGAAGAACTTGCTACCAAGATTGCTCAACTTTTACCACAACAAAAACTCACTACTGCTGAAGTTCAAACTTATTTGATGAGATTTATTTATGAACCTGAGGATTGTCTTTTACATGTTGAGGAATATCTTGAGGAAGTTGAAGATTTGAGAAAAAAGTTGGCAAAGAAGGAAGAAGAAGAAAAGGAAGAAGAAGAAAAGAACGAAAAGGAAGTAAACGATAAAGAAGACAGTAAGGAAAAGAACACAGACGAGGCTCTTGTCATTTCTACTGAGAACAAAGAAACCAATGGATAGACTCATTGGTCTCAAACATTGAAATTGTAATTTCATAAATTTACTAAATTATTCGCAAAAAATGTCTATTGGGTCATCGTTCGTACTAATTGTTGTCACGAGTCTTGTCATTTCAACTCTTGTTCTCATCATTTCACAACCCTCCGATGACTCTATCTTTCAAATTTATCCACTCATTGGCAATGTGACACCTTTTCATACCCATCGTGTACACATGCTCTACGTTTCAGGATTAGCCGATTATGACCATGTTCGAAAATTATTGATCGATGAAGGATGTAGCAAAGCACAAGATATTTCTAAATGTGAATCCGAGTTAGAATTTGAACCTGTGAAAATGAATTCTCCATTATTGAGAAGTCCTTCTGATCATCATGATGGAAAAGTTTATACTCCTCTCGTGATTGGAAATGTATTTTATGAGGAATCATCAGCCGACTCGTATGCAGAGCTAATTCCTGGTGTTATTTTACAAAAAAGAGGAAGTAATGAAAGTGTACATTGCACAGATGAATTATGTGTGTTTAAAGAAATGGTAAGCTTAAATAGTCTTGATTTGGAAAATGTTGATGATCAAATGTTTAAATGTCAATTCAAACTGAACCAATGTGTGTATGATTGAAAAATTAATTTACCCTGTATCATCAAACTCTAACTCGGATTCACATTCCAATTGGATCTTTTAATAGTTTTTCAATAGAAATTTAATTGCCAAAGTGTTAAAAACCTATGTCACTGGTGCTAAAACTCATCACATTGGAAGAAAATATTTATGTGTCGATAAATATTTGAGAAAAATGTTTTACAAGAGAGAAAACATCAATTCTGTAGAGCATGTAGAGTTGAGTATTCCAATTTCAAACTCTGCTTCACAACTTGATTATCAATTGAATTTGAATTTAAAATATGATATTTTAAGTTTATTAACAAGCGCTACTCATATGGTTCAATCATTTGGAATCAAAAACGTTCTAAAGCTTGGAATTCAAACAGCATTATTAGGTCTTCCAGTTCAATTACCAATTATGGGTGTGAAAGGAATTTCTGAATGGAGAGAATTCGATACTCGAGATCCAATTCTTATTCAGAATCTTGTGCTCACCTCTCCCTTATTCCCAATTGTGAAATGGAAAGAGTTACAAGCGAACTCTGATAATCGTTTGGTCTTTTTAGAAAAGGGTGGCGATGTTTCAAATTATTATTTACCTTTCAAATTTCAACCTCTTGCAGCTTTGGATTTGAAGAATGCCAAATTCGTCATGACACCACCATTCAATGTTGGAACAGGCAATGATAAGGTTGAAACTACAGAGAACTGAGAGAATCTGTTGTTACAAGCAATGAGGCCATCTCCGATAAGTTCACTGAGGATTTTTAATCTCAGACCCACACACCCAGCAAAAATGAACCTGGGATTGGGTGAGTTGGGTGTGAGGACGGCGTTTAATCTCAAACACAACACAAATCCAAATCAATCTTCAAAAAAAAATATTTCTGCAACAAATATGATGATCATCAGCGTTTTATTATTGAAATTTGAACAAAGTGTTTGGCATGGTTTTAACCAACGGATTGCTTTTCAAAATAGCGTTCGAACATAGAACAGCTACCATTGCAACATATGGAAGCAAAGATTTTCTTTGTCTCCATCTTGTTGCCGTTGCTGATAATCGTTTTACATATCCGAAGGTCATTTCTACAATCATTCTCTCAGATTTGTGTTGCACAAAGAGATCAGGCTTACTTCTGATGATGGTTGATGTTGGAAGTACCAATTCAACTCCATGTTTGAATGTTTTTGCTTGATATCCACCATCAGCAAGGACCATCACACCCTGTAAGTATTTTT